AACCCTGCTCCGCCCCATCCCCATCCCCACTCCACTCCTTCCCCAAAGCCCCCACCCTGCTCCGCCCCCGCCTCTTCCCACCCCTGCTCTGCCCCAGCCCCTCCCCCACTGCCCTGAGCTCTGCAGCTGGGTTGGGCCCCCCTGCCCCCCAAGCCAGCCCCCTCCCCCCCCACGGAGGCCTGCCCCCCCCACACCCTCCCACAGGGGGGCTGCGTAGGGCCCGAGAATAGCTAAGGACGGCCCTGCCAGTGACTTTGAAAATATCTGATAATTGCTTCTCTCCTCATCAGTGTCCCCCTCGTCTCTGATCCGCAGACGGGACGCTTTTCCATACTGGCAAAGGGAGAAAGGTCGTTGTGGTGCACACGAGGGAACAAGCCCTGCAGCTCTTCGAACAGCATCACGGGGGTCCCCGGGGTGGGCACCAAGGAACCTCGCTGACCACCCAATACTATTGGCCTGGGATGACGAAGGACATCGTCGAGTGGGTCTGTAACGGAACCAAACCCTGCTCCACGTCACGGGCCGTGGCCGTGCCGATCTGAAACGTGAAAATGTAACCACCTTTCCCGTGCGATTGTCCTGTTGTACAAGAACGTTAATGTCGTCGTGTGGTTCCGTCCCAACTAGGTGGAGCGATGTGTGAAGTGCCAGAAGGGGAGAAAGGCCGTAACGCTGCACTCCCCCGTGGAGAGCAAAATGGACACTCCTGTGGAGAGCAAAAAGGTGAATTTTGGACTCGGAGGCATCTGCTATGTAGCTTCTGAAATGTTTTTTACACCCACATTGGCCAGAATTTGCTATCTCTGGAGGATGGGACATGGGGTCCCCTTGCCTGGTACTGGGACATGTCCCCTCTGGGGTGGAGTCGGGGGGCTGGGCACATGGGGATCCCTCGCCCGGTACTGGGACGTGTCCCCTCTGGGGTGGAGTCGGGGGGCTGGGCACATGGGGATCCCTCGCCCGGTACTGGGACGTGTCCCCTCTGGGGTGGAGTCAGGGGGCTGGGCACATGGGGATCCCTCGCCCGGTACTGGGACGTGGCCCCTCTGGGGCGGGGGCTGGGCACACGGGGTCCCCTTGCCTGGTGCTGGGATGCCACTGGCTCTGGGATGGGGCCTGGGCATATGGGGTCCCCTTGCCTGGTGCTGGGATGCGGCTGGCTCTGGGGCGCGGGGGGAGGGGGGTGTTGGGCACATGGGGACTCCTCGCCTGGCACTGGGACGTGGCCCCTCTGGGACGGGGCCTGGGCACATGGGGTCCCCTTGCCTGGTGCTGGGATGCGGCTGGCTCTGGGGGGTGGGGGTGGGGTTGGGCACATGGGGACCCCTTGCCCGGCGCTGGGACGCGGCCCCTTTCGGGGGGAAGCCGTTTATACTCTGTGTGAAGTGCATCCTAGGTGTTTTCTCAGACCCCCGCCCTGCCTGGCCAGTCCCACCTCCTGGCCAGCCCCTCCCACCCCCCTGCTCCTTCCACACCCGGACGTGTGTCCTGCTCCAGCTCTCTGTCCAGCTGCCCCTGGTTCCCGGACTCCACCGAGTGGCAGTTGCAGGTAAGATCCCTCCCGCTCAGGGGGTCCCCGGCCCCCCAGGCCCGGGAGCTCGGGGTCCGTGGCAGTGGAGTGGGAATTCCTCTGCCCTGTTTGTTTGCTCTGGGACAGATTGGGATGGACTTTGCCATGTGCTGGGGGAGGGGGTTTGCTGCAGACAGGCTGGGGGCGGAGGGGAGAGACGCAGACAGGATCCTGGGGTGGCGGGAAGAGCTGGGAGTGAACCCCTTCTCTGTCTTCCCTCATGGAATGGGGGGGAGGGGACCCAGGCGTCCAGGGGAAAAGGGGGAGCAGGCGGTGCTGGGGGTGCTGGCTGTGAGGGGAGCTCCCGGCCACTCCAGCCCCGGCCTCTCCCAGCAGGGTTGCACTGGCTCTGGGCACAGTTCCTCTCTTCCTCCACTCGGTGGCGCCATAAAGATGCCCCCCCTTGTAAGAGCAGCATACGCTCTGGTATGTCTTCTCCCCAATGCCTCTATGGTTTCCCGTTGCAGACCGACGCCATGACCTCCCGCCTGGATCTCTCCCACCTCCTCCCGCCCCCCCGCTTGCGCCAGCTGGTCCGGGACTGGCTCCAAGAGGATGCCCCAGCCTTCGACCCCGCCGGCTGCGCAGTAGGGGAAGGCCCGGAGCGCGCTGTCCTCCTCTGCAAGTCTCCTGGGGTGTTGGCTGGCTGCCCCTTCTTTGATGCCGTCTTTACCGAGCTGGGCTGCACCGTGGAGTGGTTCCAGCCCGAGGGGGCCTGTCTGGAGCCCGTGGCCCGCGTGGCCGAAGTCCTTGGCAAAGCCCGCCACCTCTTGCTCGGGGAGAGGACTGCCCTGAATTGCCTGGGACGGTGCAGCGGGGTGGCTACGGCCGCAGGACGGGCCTGCCGGCTGGCGCGGGAGGCCGGCTGGCACGGGCAAGTGGCTGGGACGAGGAAGACCACGCCGGGTTTCAGGCTGGCCGAGAAGTACGCCCTGCTGGTGGGGGGAGCTTCGGGCCACCGCTACGACTTGGGCAGTCTCGTCATGCTAAAGGATAACCACGTCTGGGCGGCTGGAGGAATTGCCCAGGTAAGGGGGTGGCCCTGGGAGTACTGTGGGGGGTGTGTGTCTCCTACCTGGATGCCTGGGTCCCATTACCCCTCCCAGTCTCTGGGAGCACAGTGGGGCCCCCTAGGGGAGCCATCACAGATGCCTGGATCTCATCTCCATCTCTGGGAGTACTGGGGGGCCGGGAGAGGGTGTCTCCTACCCGGATGCCTGGGTCCCATTCCCTGCCTGAACTAATTCTCCGCCTCCAGGCCATCCAGGAAGCCCAGCGGGTGGCTGGCTTTCATCTGAAGCTGGAGGTGGAGTGTCGTTCGCTGGAAGAGGCCCTGGAAGCCGCAGGGGCCGGATCTGACATCGTCATGCTAGATAACTTCTCCCCGGAGGTACCAGGGAGTCTGGGGGCTAGCGGGTGGGGTGGGGGGACCCGTAGCCCCTTCCCTTATAACCCTGCCCTTTGTCCCTCTAGGATTTGCATCCTGCCGCCAGCGCGCTGAAAGCCGCCCATCCCCGGGTGATGGTGGAAGCCAGCGGGGGGATCTCGGAGGAGAATATCTCCCAATTCTTCGGCCCGTGTATAGACGTTCTTTCTCTGGGATGCCTCACCCAATCGGCCCGAGCCGTGGATTTTTCCCTCAAAATCTGTCGGGAGACGCCAGTCCAGAGAGATTTTGCCTTCTAAGACCATAAGCCCCAATTTTCAGGGCAGAGTGTGAAATTTTAGCTCAGTGAAATCAAAGGTCAGGGAGTTTCACAGATTAACAGATAAAAATGTCTAGTTTCTTCCATGTCTAGTATGCTGTCTTGATTTTCTCACTTTGTATCTTTCCTAAGAACCATCAGACACTACATTTCCTGAACTGGGAGTGAAATTTTAAGCTCTGTAAACTCATGTGGTGGGGAGTTCCACTGGCTACTGGTTAAAATCAAATTCCTTCTGAAATGTGCTACCTTAATTTGCCCAATATAATTCTGTCCTAAGATGTATCACATGCTACATTTTCTAAGCCATGTGTGAAATTTTAACTCAACAAAATTGAGTGTCAGGGAGTTCCAGAGGTTAATTGATACAATTATTTCATATGTTCCCTCTAAGATGTGCTGTCTTGATCTGTGCACTTTAATTTTACCTTAAGAGCCATCACATTCTAAAGACACATGTGTAGTTTTAGCTCCCTAAAATCATGTGGCAGAGTGTTCCACAGATTAATGTCTAAAATCATCTCATATCTTTCCCCTGAAATGTACTGTCTTGATTTTACATTTTTGAATTGCTCCTAAGAACCATCAGGTCCCAAATGTCCTGAGCCGTGTGTGAAATTGTAACTCCATGAAATCATGTGACAGGGCGTTCCATAGGTTAACAGATAAAAGTATCTAATTTCTTCATTCCAAAACCTGCTGTGACATCCTGACCTGACTGAAGTTATAGGAAAACAAACACAGACTTCAGTGGGGCCAGGATTTCAACCACTGCCACCTCATTAGCCCACCTTGATCCCTATCTAAACAGCCACTGTGCTCCACTCCAGAAGCAGTTGCAACAGGACAGGACAGGACACCGAAAGAGTTAAAAACAGGTTTCCTCATCTTTATTGAGACTTTTTTTTTCTCAATTCTTGACACGGGTCCTGATCAGTTTCTTAAGACTCTGGCTGCAGGGTGGGGAAGGGCAAGGTTGTGGGGTCCCAGCTCCCCACCCCAAAATCACAATAAATAAGAGTGGCATCTGCAGTTTGGGGGTCCAAAACTGAAGCTGATTTGGCGTCATGTGGGGGAGATGCCCCCAACCTGGGGGGTGTGAGTGGATGGGACCCCACAGCGCCAGCCCCCTGGATGGGGGGGCAGGGGAATTTGGGTAGGCTTGCTGGATTTACTCCCCTTCTTTGTCTTCACCGTGTGTAATTACGTAGCAGATGTTCTTGTAGTCCACATTGCCAGCCACATCTGGAGGAAAAGCTGACCACATGTTCTTGATCTGGGGGTGGGGGACAGGAGCAAGAGGGGAGTTAAAATTGGGGTGACCCCACCCCCAAAACTAGGGTCTGTGCCCCTCGATCCCAGACCCCACCCACTGCTGCTGCAGGAGGGATCAGGTTGGATGGGATGATCTGGGGGGGATGGGTTAGATTGGGGGGATGGGTTTGTATTGGGGTTCAGGGGGTCACCCCCAAATTTCTCACCTCTTCCGGGGTGAATCTGTCGCACTGGGTGGTCAGAAGTTCTTCCAAGCTGCGAGAGGGAAGAGAGAGAGTGGCGATCAGACACCCCAAATTCTGGGGAGACACCCCCGATTTCTCAGCCCTGGCGTACCCCCCCCCAACACCCCACACCCTGGGGAGAGCGCCCTCTGCTATGGAGACCCCCCTCCCTGTGCGCTCTCAGGACCGGGGTCACTCCTAGCACCCCTTGCCTAGGGGAGACTCCCACACCCACCCCTAGCGCCCCCTGCCCCGGGGAGACCCCCCATGCTCACCCCCAGCGCCCCCTGCTGGGGACAGGGATACTCACAACTGCTTCTTGATGGTGCCTTTGGCCTCGCTGTCCAGCACCTTGAACGCCCCCATGATCACGTCCTCGGGGTCAGCACCTGGGGGGGTGGAGAGGGCGAGAATTGGGGGGCTGGGGCG